GACGTTACAGATTACTAGGCTCGACACATTGAACATTGAGTTTTGCTTTATGATTGGATATTCATAGGTATATTTTAGAGTATTTGTGTCCATATAGTCTGATACCGGTTCGACGTACTTATACTCTCATAAATATAATTACTGAGACCGAGACCAGTGCCGACGATTTGTGAACTTCGTAGACCTAGCAACCTTATCTTCAGGCTCTAAAACCCAAAGGCTGAGACGTGTTCCTTCCTCAGCCGCAATCGCAAGATAAATAAGTCAGCAGCGTGCCTAACACACATCAAAATATTTTACTCCCCGGCCAAGCTCGGCCGATGAGTTGGCACACCCCGCACACAACCGAATGATGTAGTTAGCTTATTAGTTACTCGGCCTGCACGCCACGTAGGTTTGGTAGTTTTTAGGGTCAACAGTAACATTTCATGGTTGGTTCTTATAATTGAACTCATCATTATACAACATCATCTCCAATATTAGAAAGCCAAAACCACAGAACCACACTTTGGTGTCTCGGGTTTCACCAAAAGTAATTAGACTGGAAAGCCCTTAAAACAAAAAAAATTCTAAAGGATAAATTACATTTTACCCCCTCAGGTTTGGGGTTGATTGCAACCTCATATAATATCTTTAAAACATTTCAATTTCATACGTTTACTTATCATTTTATTTCAATTTCATACATCCGTTAGAAAATCCATTAAGTGATAACGTGGCAAATATGGGATCCACATTTGTGCTGATGTGGCTACCAAATTTGTCCCACGTGGCAAAAAAGTAATTTTTTATGCATTTAAAAGATAATAATTTACCCTATTTAAATTTTAAAAAATAAAAATAAAAAATAAAAAATAAACCATAAAACCCATCATCCCCGACACCTTCTCCTTCTCCTCCACTCTCTTCACCTCTCCCCAAAGACCCAATCTTCCCTTTTCACCTTCCCAACCCACATTTTCCTTCTCCTTCACTCTCTTCACCTCCCCTCCCATCATCATTGTCATCCTCACAGCCACACTCATGGCCTCAATCTGCCTCTGTCTCATCCTCCGCCACCTCAATCGCCGATACATCCATTGCCTTGCGCCCTCCCCCGTCGTCTCATCCTCCGATTCTCATCAAATATCCACTCGTCGAGTCAATCCAGTGACCTTGCCCACCCTTCCTCTCTTCACCTTCTCCTCTGTCTGCTTGTCGAAATTTGAGCTCAACGACAAGCTTCGTTTTCTCCCGCTCTGTTGCCAAGCCTTCCACGTCGTCTGCATCGACACGTGGCTCCAATCGCAGTAGACTTGCCCACTCTATTGCTCTTTGATCGCCACTTCCGACACCGAGCTCATTTATGACAGACCTCCATTGTTTCAATTTTTTTTTTTTTTTAGGATTATGGTTAGGTGCAGGTTGATCTGGAGAGAGAGAGAAAGGAGGGGAGGTGAAGAGAATGGAGGAAAGGGAGAACGTGGGTCGGGGAAGATAGGTTTTAGGGTTTTTTTTAATAGGGTAAATTATTTAAATGTATTAAAAATTTATTTTTTTTGTCACGTGGCACAAATTTGGCTGTCACGTCAACACAAATGTGGATTCCATATTTGCCACGTCATCACTTAACGGTTTACTTAACAGATTTTTTAACGAATGTATGAAATTGAAATATTTTAAAGATATTGTATAAGATTGCAATCGATTCCAAACCTGAAGGGATAAAATGCAATTTACCCAATAAACCTTACCAAGTTTGATACATAAAGAAACATGGGCAATTTTGTCATAATACAACATTTTATAACTTGTTTTCTTTATTTAAAAAAGGGCAAAAAATATAGACAGGTAAAACGGTGGAGACGTGCAAACCAGCCTCAACCCCACTCCTCCTCGATAATGGCAATCAAGTTGTCAACCAACACTAACTCCTCTATCTTAGGAGGAGATATTAAGGCCATCTCTAACCGAAGGATCCAAAGGGCCAGAGGGCTGAAAATAGCCCTAAAACCGTCTCCAACCGAAGGCTAGGCCAGAAGGCTCTGGAATCTAGGAGGGCCCCACGGAATTTCAAAGGGCCAAAGGGCTGGCTGCTTTCGGCCAGCCAGCCAGCCCCGGGCTGGCTATTTTTTTTTTATGGTTTTCCCATTGCTGTCGGTTATAACCGACAGCATTAAAGAAGGATTTTTTAATACTGTCGGTTATAACCGACAGTAATAGTTATTCAAAGGAATTTTTTTTTTTAATTACTATTAGTGTCGGTTATAACCGACACTAATAATTTGAAATTTTTTCAATATAACGGCTAGTAGCAGTTGTATTAACTTTTTTTTTTGTTTTTTTATATGAATTTAAACTTCTTCTTTTTTCCCTTTTTTGTCCTTTTCATATGAATCAAATTTGATTTCATATTTTTTTTCAATTCTATTTTACAAAATTTGTTTCATATTTTTTTAAATTCCATTTTTTTCCTATAACTTCTATTTCACAAAATTTGTTTCAATTTTTTTTTTTTAAATTCTATTTTTTTTTCCTATAACTTCTATTTTACAAAATTTGATTCATATTTTTTTTTTCATATAACTTCTATTTTACAAAATTTGTTTCATATTTTTTTCCTATAACTTCTATTTCACAAAATTTGTTTCATATTTTTTTTCAATTCTATTTTTTTCCTATAACTTCCTAGGCCATTTATACAACATTAAATTAAATTAAGTAACATGAAACAACATTAAACAATATGAAACAACATTAAATAACATTAACCAACATAAAAATTATACAACATAAAAAAACACCATTGAGGTTGTTAGAGCGACCAGCAACAGAGCCACCCCATTGAGGTTGTTCCTCAGTTGGCTGACACACCATGGCCGCAACCATGGCTGCTGCCATGTTTTGTTTGTTGCGCCTTACTTGAACTTCTTCATCAGACTCCTCATCTTCTCGTCTCATTTGCACCCATTTTGCTTCCAATTTGGAATTGGATGAGGACCCCCAATTGGAATTGGATGAGGATCCAAAGTTGGAATTCATTGCAAACTTGAATTGAAAGAGATTGAATTGCAAGAGATTGAATTGAAATAGATTGAATTCAAAGTTGTGTGAATTATAGCCTAATATCTACCCTATTTATAGCAAAAAAAAATTCAAATCCAACGGCTAGCTGACGTCATGTTGACGTCACTTAGCCGTTGGATTTGAATTTAAATTATAGTTTTTAAATAATAAATTATGTTTGGCCCTTTGGCCTTCGGTTGGAGACGGTTTTTTGTGACAGGGCTAAAACGAGCCCTCTGGCCCTTTGGCCCTCGGTTGGAGACAGAGGCAAATATGGCCATGTACTGTTCATTAAAATATTAATATCTTGGGGAATCTTTGAGGGCCAGAGGGCTAAAATGAGCCCTCTGGCCAGCCCTCGGTTAGAGATGGCCTAATATCTCACAAAATTATATATAAAAATAAAAAATCAACGTGGGAGAAAAGCGATAGAAGTTGCCGTCAATTAAAAAAAAAGGGAGAAGTTGCACTTCCAAGTGGTAACTTCTCACTTCCACGTACAATTTTATTTCTTTCATTTCTACTTAAGTATTTTATAAAGAAAACTAATGAAAATGGTTTGAAAATTTGAAGTTTTAATCAAAATAACAAAAATGTGTACTAAGTAAATAATATCATGAGTGACTTTTTAACGTAAAAATATCATTTTTGTTAAAAATGAACAGTATCAGGAGTGTTTCGTTAAAACTCCTTATTTTATATGCACTTCCATATCCAATATCAAATGTTCTACTTTTTGTTCCGTTTTACAACTGCTATCAACAATTGATGTTTAGCAAACTACCAATAAAAGTGCGTAAAACTCCCTTACTCGCTCTTCTAAGTCTTTCAGGTATGCCATCTGCCTTCCAATACTATTGATCAATTTGACACAATCTTTCATTAAAAAAACCATATCAACATTGTCAAGTAATTTCATCCCATTATCGTCAAATCAACAGTCATCCATTTTTTCTTTTTGCTTTTTTTTTTCAATTTATTTGATTTTTTTTACTTTGCGATGTGGATGGAGGTCTGAGATTCTGAAAATGGCGGAATTTGCAATGATTCATGTCCCTCTCCCAGGTGTTCAAAGAATTAATCTCTCGGTGTAAGCTTCTGTTTTCTCTTCTTGGGCCTTCGCCTTTCAATAGTATGCGTTTTAGCTTTTGCAAACCATAACCTGTGTGCATATGTATTTGTGTATATTTATGTATCAATGTATAAGCATTTTTCTGGTTGGATTATTAAATTATTATTGGATATCTTTGTTTTGCAGTACTTGGGGTTTTGCATTTACTAGCATCTCCACTTGCAAGTTGTTCTATTTCTTTCATATTTTTTATTTCTTAAATATTTATTTATTTGGTTTGATTTGTGCGTTTTTTTAATTTTGGTCGAATTTTGAATTTCAATTTTGTTTACACATTTGTCAAATACATTTAAAAGATTTTTTGGCACACACAACGGCTCTGATAAATAAAAAGTTTTTCTCACACGCAGAAAGGCTAGTTATCAATAATGTCCTTATTTATTTTTATACTAGCCTTTCTGCACGCGCTTATGGGCGTGCGAAAGGCTTTTTTTTACATCACGGCACGCTACGCGCGGCATCTAGAGTCATTTTTTCTTTTTACATTCACTCATGCATAAAGACATTGTTATAGTTACAATGTGCTAAGCGCAACGTACATTGTTTAATTATAAAATTTGGACTTGTCAAGAGACATTCTTTCATTTATTTTTTTATTTTTTTAGGCTAAAAAATTGTATTAACTTTTGCACCATTAGATTTAAATTAAGATATTGCAAGCCTCTAAACTTGAAAAGAGAGAAGCACATAAACGAAATTAAGCTAAACATGATGTTCACGATCAATCTCCCATATCACAAATGCCACAAAATTGAAAACTTTATGTCCAAATGATAGCAAAAAAGTCACATATAAATACACCATTTAAATTATCATAAAACTGAGTAAATAAACTGCACAAAAAGACAACCTTAATATACAAAAATGTATATTAAGCATTTTAAGCATAACATAATAAAAATGTTAGCTAAAAAATAAAGAAAAATCATATCGGCAGTAAATTAAGCATAACATAATAAAAATGTTAGCTAAAAAGGAGAAACCAATATCCACATACATGCAAACCAAGACATGTTTCTCCTCTTCCTTGCCTGTGCAAAGTATTACTCCATCATATCTTTCTTCCCTGAAACCATCTCTATTCCAAGCATTCGTAAACCAAACTTTGTGATAATTCCAAGTTCTGAGTGGTAGCAATTTGAAACAAAGGGCAACACAATTAATGGAATTAGTGTCATTTTGTATCCAATACAATACCTTAATAAAATTAAACCATAAATTGTTAACATAGTAGTGCAACACAATTAGGAGTTTGTGAAATCACAAAAAAAATAAGATAAAAATACACATTAGTGTACCTTAAAAACTTGATAGCAATATCTTCGTCACTCAAGATTAATGAGTACATCCACCTTGCATTACATAAGTAATCAATATAAATTGGAAACCATCATATTAAAATGGACAGTGAAACTAAAATCCCTCCCCCCTCTTTAAATTCTGCAAAAATGAGTAACCATTATTTAACTAATAAATTAGTACGTATATAATAATGAAGTTAACAGAAATTTTCATACTACTTGCAATAAAACAAATGGAAGGGGGGCTGAAACCTTTCATAGTTGGATGGTGCAAAATATACATTTTCAGTATTTTTCCTGTCAAACGAACTTCAAAACTGATTATACCAATTAAATTTTTTCAAACGTTCACTTACCCAGAAACCAAAAATGAAAATTTTATTAAATTAATTAAAATAAACTCATTGGCAAAAGGAACATAAAAATGAAAATTTATACTAATTAATTTAAAGGGATACAAACTAAAAATACTGAGATTAAGATTGACAGGAGGAAATGATTGAGAATTGAGAATAAAAGATAAAGATTGAGAGTTGAGAAGTTGTACCGAGGAAGACTCTTTGTCAATTTATCTCTCTGTTTCATCCTCTCTCGCGCCTTTGCAATGAACGGATAAACAATTTGCTATAAAAAATATATTTGTGTAATCAGATAATATGTAGTGAACCTGGTTGAGAAGAAATTGGGAATTTCGTAAGATGGAGACTCTGTGCACGTTTCTCTTTTCTGATTCTTGAATTTAAATGAGATTTGTGGAAGGATTTATCAAACAGCTTTTTGCTCAACGGGGGTGCAGTTTTCAGTTTCCACGTTCTATTTTTTATTTGAGGGATTTATCAATTTTTTCCCAATAAAATAAAATTTTAAAATTTTTATACATTTATATGGGATAATAATCTCTCTCCTAAAATGGAGGAGGAGTGGGGTTATTGCCCCCTTTTCTAGTGATATTTAATACACGTCTTCCCCTTTTTTTATTTTATTTTTATTTTTTGCTTCTAATAAAATGAATTTTAGATTTATTTTTTTTACAAAATTACCCCTGTGTGTTTTCATGTATCAAATTTGGTCAGTTCTTTTTTTTTTTTTTGTTTAAGGGGCTTTTCAGTCCAATTGTTTTTTGTGAAGCCTTGAGACACCAAAGTGTGCTTCTGGCTTTCTAATATTAGAGATTAGAGATATACAACCAAGTTATAACCATGTAGTGACTTAACTGTATATTATTGGATATTTTTTTAAGCCACAACTTTTAACTTTTGACTTTGACTGCCATGCAAATACGCCAACTTTTGTGAAAGATTATTGATCAATCCTGTCAATTGATTGAACTCTCACTACGAAATACTGTTGATTAATAATAGAGTGTGTTCATAAAATAAATGATAAATCATAATGCATAAGCATGCAGCCATAAACTTAAACTAAACCTAAAACTTAAACCGAACTTAATTATTGGAAGTTCTTTTTGGGGTACTGGGATCAATAGAAAAATATTGTGTGGAGATAATATGTCAACGACTGTCTTCATTTATACTTGAAATTTTTATATAAATACGTAATTAATTAGCTAGGAATAAATCTAAAATTGAAAAAATTGCAACAATAATTTTCTATATCGACATAGGCAGCATATGCTAACTAGACCCTTTTTTCTACCATACAACAATAGATGTCATACATTTTATATATCTATACCCTAAAAAATGATGGTTGGTGCTATACACACACTCATATTTTACCTCCCACACATTCCTTGTTAATTTATGTCATTTGATTTTCTTTAATTCATTCGATCATCCAACAGTCGGAAATTAAGAGAGTTGAGTGGGAGGTAAAAAAAAGATGTGTGTATAGCACCACCAAAAAAAACAGGTAAATGTTTGGTTTATAAACTAAATCAAAACTAGGCCTGCTAAGGGGCCAATTAGCTTTTATTTAAACTAAGTGCGACCATTTCTGAGAATATTGCGCCTCTTCGATTAGCTTCACACACCAACGAGGTATTTGGGCATTCCTATCATTACTACCAAGCTAACTTACCATGATTGTTCCTCTACTTGAAAGAATTGAATTCATCTTTTTCCTTTGCTGGGAGATTTCAGCTCATTTAAGCTATTTTATGCAACGTGCAAATTTATTGGGTTTCACACCTTTTTCATCCCAAAAAAATTTTACTTGACTGAGCAACGAATGAGAGTTTTGTTATGGGTCCGAAAGATTACTACTCAGTATAATGCTAAAATCTCTTGGGATAAAGTTTGTCTCGCTAAAGTTGAGGGTGGCCTTGGGCTTAGGAGATTGTCTATTTGGATATGCTCAGACATATTTGGATTCTTTTCAAAGACGAGAGGAATACTTGGGTTGCTTGGGTGAATGCTTATCACCTCAAGGGGAAAAGTTGTTGGAGTGTTAATGCTCCTAATTCTTGCTCTTGGAATTGGAGAAAGTTGTAAATTAGAGGTCTTGCTCGACCCTTTATACGACATGGAATCGAAGATGGTAATAGCATTTCTTCTTTTTTTTCTTTTTGCATGACAATTGGCATCCTGTCGGTCCTTTGGCTCTCATTTGGGACCCTGGAGGTAATGGGGCTGCAGGAATTAATGTTAATGCTCTAGTTAATAGTGTAGTGAATGGCTTTCTATGGAATTGGCCTTCTATTACGGATGAGATTAGTTTTGGGATCAGAATTTTCGTTGATGATTTTTTACCCAATCCCAACAGAAAGGATAAAGTTAGATGGCTTCTTAGAGGTAATGGTGGTTATACTGCTCACTCGACTTGGATCAATTTTAGGTTTCCAAGCCTATTGTTCCTTGGCATAAAAATTGTTTGGTATGGTCAGAATATTCCTAGAATGGCCTTCATTTTGTGGTTAGCTATTAAACGTCAAATGACAACTAAAGATGTGTTCTTTTGTTTTCCAAAAAAAAAAAAAAACAAGTGTTCTTTGCTGTCGGATAATGAATCAATGGAACACCTACCTATTTTCTATTGTCCATACATTTATGGAATTTGGAGTAGTTTGATGGGGAAGTGTGGGGAGATTTGGCTTAGGCTTTCTTGGCATGATTTCATTGGATGGGCTTCTTCTCAATGGCGTGGAAATAACCTTTTCTATCTTGACTAAGAAAACTTGTCTGGCTATTGCTGTTTACCATCTGTGGAAAGAGAGGAATAATAAAATTTTCAAAAATGAGTCCAAGCCCCCATTGATGATTCTCAAATCTATCATAGATATTATTAGAAATAAATTGATTTTCATGGACCAAATAAAAGCCTTCTCCAGATTAGACCCAACAGTTTCTGACACGACATGAAAATAACGGATTTCAGATCAACACGATAACTTATCGGGTCATTATCGGATGACTCGTTAAGAACCTGTTAATAACGGGCTCTTAACAGGTATACACACGGGTAACATGTGGGTAACCCGTTTCGACCCGTTAAGAAAAAATATATTTTGATAATTTTAAAATTTAATTACTAAAAGATTTATTATAAAATACAATAGCCATATTAATATATACAATATATTCTATATTAAATATATAGTCTTGTATTATTATTCTATATAAGTTTTTAAAAAAAAATTTAGTCATTATTTATTTTTATTATGAGAGTTCCTTATTATCATTACTATGATAAATTTTACTTAACATGTTGTCGTCCAAAATTAAAATAAACTAATATAGTATTTATATAGGCAAGAACTAAGAAGACATACATACAAGTATGAAAAATGTGAAAGAATATATAAACACTCGTGATTCATCATTATTCCTTCACGAGTAGATAATGGTTACACTTACATTATCGTTTAGATTTTTAAAATCCTCCAAACCTTCATGCATAATGTTTTTTATTTGAGGGCAAAATTAATAAAATTAATAATAATTATTGTAGAAGTTAAAAAATGTAAAAAAAAATATACAATCACTCATAGTGACAAACTTTACAGCTTTTATGAAGGGGTCAGCTTCGAAATCCAACACTATAATTCATAAACCTTAAATTTATATTTAACCATCAATTGTCATTTACGTTTTATTCTTCTTACTGAATTTCATTTTTTAAATTTTCTTTTTTGAAAACATGATCATCTGGCGAATGTAAGAAGATGAACGGTTCAGATCTTTGATATCACGTTTCGATATTTACGGTTAATTGAAATATGAGTCAATGTCATATAGTTTGTAGAAACTTTATAAACATCAAGCAATATTTTCACTAACCGTAAAACTCTGAATATAATATCAACGATCCAAACCGTTCATCTTCCTGCATCCTCTAATAGATCAAGTTTTCAAAAAACAAAATTCGAAAAAACAAAATTTGATGAGAACAATGAAGCGTAAATGTAAACAACAATCAACGGTTAAATTTTGATCTATGATTTATATAATTATAGTGGCGAATTTTGAAGTTAAACTCTTCATGAAAGTTGTAAAGCTTGTCATTACGAGCATTTATATTTTTTTTCTATATTTTTTTACAATTCTACATTAATTAAAAAACTATTAAAGACTTTGGGTAAGTGAAAATATACTTAAAAGAAAATTGTGTTTTTATGTTTTGGATGTGACAATATGGTATGTATATACTTATTTAGTATTATGTTTTTCATTTGATTATTTATTGGTTTAAAATATATTTTCTTTAACGGTTAACGGGTCGGGTCCAATGGGAGACACATTCACCGAAGATTCCTTCACAACTGAGATGATCTAAAGCGCATCACTCTCGATATTAATCTTGTTCAAACCCCTTTCAACCACCATTTCAAGACTCACTCTCATGGCCAATGCGGAACCTGGATGGGAGAGAACACGTCCACTAACACCCGGGTAGCCGCACCTATAAAGATTCCTTTGTCATTTCTGATGATAATTCCCACACCTTCTAAGCAATTCTCCTTATCCCAGGCTCCATCAACATTTAGCTTCAGTCTACCTAATGTTGGGCAGGACCATTAAGAAGGACCCCCATGAACGGCCTGTTGGGACGGAGTACTGTTAACCCGCAGGAAATCATGCCACCAGTCCAATGCTCGACCCATTACCTCCACAGGATTTGGGTTTAGGGCCTTACCCCAGAGCTTTGCGTTTCTTGCGGTCCAAATTGCCCAGATGAGCATTAGAAAGCACTCGAAATCCGACTTCCCCAGGTTCTTTAGTAGCAGCAGAGCCCATTCTTTCAGGGCACATCCATCACATGGAGAACGCCGGAGTGTTAATGGTGAGGCATGCCAAACAGCTGCAGCAAATGGGCACTTGACCAATATGTGATACGTCGATTCCAAGGCCGAACCACAAAGAATACACATTAGGTCAATAGGGACTCTCCTCATTTGGAGATTGTGAGCAGTAGGGACGATATTTGATAAGATCCTTCATGCCATCATCTTCACTTTAGGAGGGACACCAGCCTTTCATACCGTATTCCACAGTTCAAAGAATGGATTGGTGGAGGATGAGGATGATGCCGACAAT